GATGTAGCTCAGTTGGTAGACTGCTTGTCTATCACACACCAAAGCCCTAGGTCAGATCCCCAGCACCCCATAAACCAGCATGGTGGTCCATGCCTACAATCCCATCCCAAGAGAGGTAGAGACCAAAAGGATCAGGTAAGGGCCATCCCCAGCTACAGGCCAAGTTTGGGACCAACCTGGGCTACATGAAACCTTGTCCCAATAGAGAAAAGAAGGGATGAGAGCTGGACAGATGGCTCAGTGGTCAGGAGCCTAGCACCCACATTGGCCTGCTCACAACTGCTGGTAAGTCCAGCTTCAGGGACTCTAACACCATCTCCTGGCTTCTGTGGATGCCTGAACATGTATGGCACACATTCACTCAAACACACACACACATACATAAATAAAAGCAAGTCTTAAAAAGCAATAAGTAAATAAAGAAGTGCATCTGAGCAGTGTGCTGGGTGAACTGTTCTGCAATCTGTAAAGCTGCCGAGCCCACCACAAATACGCGCCAAAGCCCATGACCCCACATGTGAGTGAGTGAGCCACCTCAGGAACCCCAGGGGTGCAGACTAGCTTCTGTTTCCTGTCTTCTCCACACTCTTGTCTCCTGAGCCTAGCATCCTCCAGATAACCTTCTCAAGGATCTCAATTCAGACCGGCCATTGGCAGACACGATGCCACCAGGGTCCCCATACATCATCAGCACCTTGTTTCTGAGCAATGATGACGTCCGCAGTTTCCTTTGTCACCCTGGTTATTCATCCTCAGGTTCCCCCAACAGACAGGTCAACCTGTCATATAAGCTAGGCCAGTCCACACCTGAATGACACCTCCCTGCTTCCGTGTGTGAGGCTGGGATCCTTCCCGCGTGAGCACTCAGACCCAGCAGAGTGGGCCATATCTGTCTCATGGATATTCACTCGGAAGCAGCGGGTGAGGCCAGATGAGCTCAGGAGAAGGTAGGCGCCTCTGAGGGGCCAGTACACTTCGCTGCCTGCTGCTGAGCAGGGAAAGTTTAAGATCCAGAGTGGGATGGCAGGCCTGTCGCTTGCTACACTGTCCTGTCAGACTGCCCTGTTTGCATGCCACACTGTCCTGTCAGACTGCCCTGTTTGCATGCCACACTGTCCTGTCAGACTCCTCTGTTTGCATGCCACACTGTCCCGTCAGACAGCTCTGTTTGCATGTCACACTGTCCTGTCAGACTGCCCTGTTTGCATGCCACACTGTCCGGTCAGACTCCTCTGCAGCAGACACCTGTGTGGTGGAGGACAGGACGGGCAGTGGCTGGGCTCCCATCTCTTCTCCCCTCTCCCCACAGCCACCCTGACAACAGCTGTAGGATCCTAGCCACACCATGCCCTGGGCTGGGCTCTGCAGCTGATGGCGTGGCCAGGTACCGCCCTTGCTTATGACATGTTTCCGCTGCCTGCTGCTGGAGAGACAGACACTCTCCATCCAGGCAGAACTCACACGATGCTGCCTGCTGGGGAGCACGCCACTCTTCACTACACAAGTGAGCACACACTGGGTATGGGTGCTGCCAAAAGCGCGAGTTCTCAAAGTAGGGTGCATTGACCCCCAGCACCATCAACACCACCACCGCCAGCACCATCAACATCACCACCGCCGGCACCATCAACATCACCACCGCCAGCACCAGCACCAGAGAACTTATTAGGGAATCAAGTTTCCAGCCCCACTCAGACCTGCCGACTGAGGGACTGAGTGAAGCCACCCGCTGATGCTGAGGCCCTGAGACTGAGAGCAGCTACAAGATGAGATGTCAGCAGAGGGCGTCCCTGCTTCTCCAGAGTATTCCTCACCCGGTGCACACATTTCACTCAGGGGTGGCGCTTACCTCCAGGCACCCCAACATCCCAGGATTGAGCCAGAGACAGGGACACCTGGAGCCTTCTGCCTCAGCCCTGGGCTGAAGGTGGAACCAGGAATGAGCCGTGGGCAGACCGTGGCCAGGCTCACAGTAGCTCTGCAATGGAGGACAAGGATCTAGGTCTGGCTGCAGCCCAAAGGGGCCAGTGTGTAGGGCCAGGGTCTCGCTAGCAAGCATGTCCGTCAAGTCCTCGGTCCCTGACAGGGCAAGTGGAGACTGGAGAAGTGCTAGGGTTAGGGGAACCCAATTCCTGGGGAACCCACACACGGCACCATAAACGGTGCCGAGCATGGTGTCCAAACATAAACGGTGCCGAGCATGGTGTCCAAACGTAAACGGTGCCGAGCATGGTGTCCAAACGTAAACGGTGCCGAGCATGGTGTCCAAACGTAAACGGTGCCGAGCATGGTGTCCAAACGTAAACGGTGCCGAGCATGGTGTCCAAACGTAAACGGTGCCGAGCATGGTGTCCAAACGTAAACGGTGCCGAGCATGGTGTCCAAACGTAAACGGTGCCGAGCATGGTGTCCAAACGTAAACGGTGCCGAGCATGGTGTCCAAACGTAAACGGTGCCGAGCATGGTGTCCAAACGTAAACGGTGCCGAGCATGGTGTCCAAACATAAACGGTGCCGAGCATGGTGTCCAACACGACTCTGTGAGGAGCCTTGGACGCCCTCCTCTTTCTCTTCACCATTGCGTTCTTAGAGACAAAGATGCCGCAGCCACTCACCCACACCCAGAGCCCTCAGGGAAGCCAGAGCCCCTTCTCCACAGGGCAGAGCGCCTAGAGGTGCGGAGGGATCGTAGAGGCTTGAGAAAACGCTCTTCCCAAGAGTGGGGGTCTCCAGGGAGGGGACATGCTCTGGAATGTCTGGCCCAGCTCTCTGCGTGTGTGGGTGTATGGGGAAGAGGAAGTCAAAGTCTTAAGAAGCTAGTTCCTGCCCAAGCGAGGGCCGGGAGCCTCCACCCAGCAGGTGAGAATCAGCTCCCACAGGAAAGGGAGGCAGGAGTGGCAGCCATCCTTCCTATGGCTCCCCCATCTTTGGAGCACGGCAGGTAACAAGAGTGAGCTCATGCTGTCCCAGACAAGCTTCCAGCTAGGGGAAAGAGGCCAGAGGTGGGGAGAGGGAGCCCTGCCCGTTCCCCGTTCCCTCGTGAGGACTCAGACCTGAACGTGCCAAGGCTCCTGCCCTAGAAACACAAAACACAGACACACGAAGTATGCACACCCATGGAACACACAGCACTGCACAGCACACACAAACAGCACACCGCATGTGCACACGTAGCCTCTCTCCAACCCTGATGTAATTTCTCCTGCTGGCATGGGTTATGCCCACTAGAGGGAGCCAGAGAGTAAAGCAGCCAGCTCCTAGGATGCCCAGGAAAGCTCTCAGACTCCCACCACATGCCCCATGGCAGGGAAGCCCCAGACCCCACCTTCCCCAGCAGATCCTTCTACAAGTATCCAACATCAACCTCATCTTGTCCTAACTAATGTGTGCGTGTGTGTCATTCTCTTCCACCAAAAGCATCTCCACCCGTTAGAGCACACACCTCAGTCAGCACTGGCCCCTTGGCAAGCGTCTTAGCCACTTGGAGATATCCTGCTCCCTTCTGTGACATGGGATGGTGTTATTTAAGAGACTTACCAAGTTTAAACACACAGAAGCATCCTCCAGAGGGTTGCTTGGTGGCTGTGGGCCCGCAGTAACTGTTAACCCCTCCCCTTCTGACCATGCCAGATCATCCTGGAAGCCTGGGTGAAATCCGCATCTCTGCATGATACCCAAGTGTTCCAGCCACCCATCCTGCCTTTCCCACGCCAGCCCGTGCCATTCCCTGCCCTTCTTCCCAACCTACACACTTCCCAGAGAAGGTCGTCCACGTTTCTCCAAAAGCCAGAATGGACACAGGTGTGCCTACAAAGTAATTGGGAGACGTGTAGAGACAAAAATCAAAGACTGATATGTGTGGATATTTGCATGCTGGCCTCGGAGCCCCTTTGTCTGGTTCCCCAAAGAGGACCCAGAAAAGCCCAACGCCATTGCCACCAGCAGGAGTCCTTAGGCTGCAAGCCAAGGTGGAGTTGGTATGTTGCTACATACATTCTAGGCACTCGGCAAGCTCCCACTCTGTGCCAGGCCTGTAGCAGGTCTGGGGATATGACAGTCATTGTTCATACCTTTGCCCCAGCTTCGGCCTGGAGGGGCTGGACACGTGGAAAGGCAGCCCCAGAGCCTTGGCTGACTGGTGCGAACCTGGAGAGTCCAGGCGTTGACTGGGGGGTGGGAGCTGGGCACACTGTCCTCAGAGGGTCCCAGCTGCTGACCCCTGAACTCAAAGGCTGCCTGTGAGCCCTCCCACTCTCCTGGGCCACAGTGAGGGCTCCCTGAAGGAGGCGTCTCTTCTGGGTGGTCCACCACTTTCCTGGAAATGACCCACAGGGAGTTCGTGGTCCTCGTTCCCCTTGAGAAGCTGAAGGGGCAGCAGACCCCAGGAGCTTTGCAGAATAGTTCCCTTGGGCTCCACGGGAACAGTCTCTCCATCCCCACCTGGTCCTTCTGCCAGAAGGGAGGAGAGGCTGCTCCATTTGCCCAGTGCCCACTCTCAAAAGGGTTAGGAGCTAGCTCTTCCTTGAAATCTCTCCCCGGTTGCAAGGTTTCTAAGCCTCTGTGTATTTGCAGATTTAGGGGCAGGGGTCAGGAGGTTTTGAGTGCGCCTGCTTGCTGTAGGGGAACCTAGAGCGGCGCTGACCACAGCAGGCAGGCGGGGGGGGGTCCCTGGTCTCACAACTTGGACAGAAGCCTGTGACAATGAACTCTGGAAGTTTCTCTTCCCTCTTTCGGCGCTGTTGATTGCAGGAGTGTTTCCCACAGAAGGGAGGCACCGAGGGGGGCGGGTAGGGGTCTGTGTCCCTCCCTCCCCTCGCCTGTGGCTACCTGGCAGCCCTTCCCTTTCCCCTGATGTTGAGGTGGGCACGCCAACTCTCTGGCGCGTTATCCTTTTGTCACTGGGATTGGATCCTTGAGGGTGGGCTGGGCCATCGCACCCCGCAGCAGCTCTCTTCCGAGGGAAACAGGCCACCAGCGGGAGTTTGCTTAGAGCAGGGCCCCTCCTGGCCTTTCCGGTCCATTCCCGGTCCCTGCCCATCAGAGCTCCTGGGCGCTGGCCTCTCCACCATGTGCGGACTGCCGTCTCCTAAGGCATCCTGTTGTGCCCGGGGCTGCCGGGTCCCGGCCACCGGGCTCCTCCTGCTCTCCTACTTGGCTTACTTGGTGCTGGGTACCGGAGTGTTCTGTGCACTGGAAGGTCGTGCGGCCCGGAACTCCAGCCGCATCTTCCAGCGCGACAAGTGGGAGCTCCTACAGAACTTCACGTGTCTGGATGGCCCGGCGCTGGACCTGCTGATGCGGGTTAGGGAGCCAGCCTGGGCAAGAAGGCGGGGAGGGGAGGGGAGGGGGCGGGGGCTCCCAGCAGGGCTGAAGCCTGCTGTGCTCTGGCTCCCGACAGTGAAGCGCTGCTGGGGACAGTGATCCCTTGGAGAGGTGGAGTAGACCGGCTTGGGGAAAACAGGGTTGTCCGATTGGGGGTGGGTAGCCATGGGGGATGGGCTGGGCCCCGGGGAAAGCGGCCATGGGGGAGCGGGACTCGGGCTCCATCTTTAAGGAAGTGAGACTGTACCAGCCCCGCAGGAAGGCCGGTCCAGAACGCAGGGGAGCAGAGGGGCGCTTCCCTGGGTCACAAGCCACAAGGCTGTCCGATAGGGTCACCCTGGGGACAGGTGTGGTCAGCCTTGTGTGGGGCTTACTGAGACAGAGGGCCGAGGAGGTCAGGGGAGGGGCAAATACTTTAGGGGCGTGGTCAGACTCTCAAGCAGAACACGGCCTGGTGGGAGCATGGGACCTTAGGGGAAAGGGGCTCAACCTATGCAGGAGGGTGAAACAGGGCTAAGGTATGCTTCTCTGGGCTGGGCCCCGAGCGAAGGAGAGGGAGCTGAGAGTTAGGAGACCTGGGCGGGTGATCACTTCCCTGAAATACTTGGACATTAAGAGCAGACCATCCATCTGTGTGCAGGCAGGGACAGACGAGATGGATGAAGTGCAGAGGTCACTGGCCAGAGGCCCCTCAGAGGGCAGAGGCAGGAGAAGGCTCACCCTGGCAGGGCTTCCCATGGAGAGCGCATCCTGGCCCTGTGGGTCACGGGGCTGGCAGCTGAGCAAACCAGTGTTTGCATTGCTAGTCTACTCCACAGCCCTCAGCCAAGAGTGCAGGGGCAGAGACACCCACGTGCCCCAGTGGGCAGGTTCTCTCTCCTGCAATGGTTCCTATGTCCCCGTATCCCTAAGCTGCAATCAGGTCCCCCACGGGAAGAGAAAAATGTCGGGGTAGGACAGGAGTGGTCATGAGTGGAGAGAGAAGTCCAAGCCTCTGGACAGACCAACTGGGCTGGAGCTAGCTCGGGAATGTCTGACCCTCGCCAGCACATTTTCCTGCTTCCCTCGCCTCCCTGGCAGATAGTACCGTCCCCATCAGGAGCTGAGCCAGGGCTCCGTTTAGAGAGGCTTAAACACAATGCTGCCCAGCCAAGAGCTGAGGCTGTGAGTTCGTCACCCAGAGGCGTGATTTTATGTCTAAGACAGAGCATGAGCTTCTCAGTGGGAAGACCCTCAGAAGAGACCCAGGAAGCCCAAGTGTCACTCCCTCCACAAAGCCTTTCGCCTCTCCCTGTCACCTCTGTGTCCCCACAGTGTGATATCCCTAAGAAGATAGCAACTATTCACAACTAGTATTGATCCATTTTACAGGTGAGGAAACTGAGGACCTCCTACATGGCCTCTGTCATACCTGTAACCGTCACAATGGCCCCATATCAGAGTTAACCCAGTTCTGTCCCACTGAAGGCTGAGGTCATGTCTGTCATCTGGCAATATCTACCTATTGCTTTCTGCAAGACTAGGATTGAGCTAGACAGCAAATTACCTGAATCTAGGACAAGGAGGAGAAGGGCTGTCCCCAAGATCTCTGTCTCTGGGAGCCCTTGCTTAGTGGAAGATTCCTGGCCCCAAACGAACTTGAAATAGGGGGAGAGATTGTGTGAGTTTTTCTGCGGACACAGGGAAAAATCTCTGCAAGGCAGGTTGAGCACCAATGACTGACAAAGAAACGGGCTCTCCCACTTCTAGCTGGGTGAGCGAGTGAGTTTATTGGGGTTACTAACAGGAGTGTGGGTGACTCAAAGGCACAGCATCACTGAAAGACAGGAGTGACACCTCACATCCTTGGAGCTCACTTGTAAGCAATTCTACCAAAGAATCCCCTCTCCTTGGCAGTTGTTACCATGAAATTTAACTTGGGGGAAGGGCTTGTGGCTGTTGTCATGGGAACGTCCCTCCTCCCTTCTGGAGGAAGTGGATCACTTTGGAGAAACTGTCTACACGACATGAGGCCGTGGGTGTAGGTGTGGCTAGAGATGTGGGTGTGAGGGTGTCTTGGGGTGCAGGGCCCCAGTCCCCTCTCCCGAGGTCCTGTTGGCCACTGCAGCATCTCCCCCAGGACATCATCAAAGCATACAAAGATGGGACCTACCTCCTGGACAACACCACCAGCATGGGGAGCTGGGAGTTTGTGGGCTCCTTCTTCTTTTCCGTGTCCACCATCACTACCATCGGTAAGGGCAACATGGGGACGGACTGGTGGGGCTTGGGAGTTGTCCTCACCCTGGGGGGCCAGTGATGGCATTCTAGAGGGTGTCACCCCTGCAGAGCAGTGTATCTGCAAGCATGCCCCCACCCCCTGCAAGCAGCATCTCATGCCCATAGACTTGGTTTGCATTTCATCAGACATCAGGGGAACTGTATACATATTCAAGTGTGGGGACTACTTCTCTGAAGGACTTTGGTCACTCAGCTGGGCCCTGCAGACCTTCCCAGCCCACCAGCACCCCTCAGTCCCTGGCACTATCCTCCAGACATGTTTCCCCTCCAGAGCCAGGCTGTTGTGTGGAAACTGTGTGGACAGAAAACCCTGGGTCCCTGAGGTCCTGGATCCCAGGGAACAGTGCTGGTCAGTTGCCCTGAAGCCCTTGCCCTCAGCACCACCTGCCTGACCCAGGATTTACCACCAGGTGGCAGGCTCACACCACTGCAGATTCAGGCTCCGCCTCCCCTCTTCTCCTTTTGGTCCTGGCCTTTTCTTCCCAACACACACACACACACACACACACACACACACACACACACACACACACATACACAAACATGCACACACACACATACCACATATACAAACATGCACACACACACATACACACCACACACACATACCACATACACAAACATGCACATACACACATACACACTACACATACACACACACCACATAAACGCGCACACATACACACCACACACACACAACACATATACACACATACCACATACACAAACATGCACACACATACACCACACACACACCACATAAACACACACACATACACACCACACACATACCACATACACACACATACACACACACCACATGAACACGCACATACACACACACCACATACACAAACATGCACACACACACACACACCACACATACACACACACCACATAAACACGCACATACATACCTCCCCAACCCCAACCTTACTTGGGCAGTCACTCTGTGATCTCAGCACTTGAGGTGGAGGCAGGAGGATCAGGAGTTCAAGGTTACATAAAAATTTTGAGGCCTGGGCAACACAAAACCTTGTTTTAACACAAGCAAAATAAAACTCATGTGGAAAGGGGATGGACGATCCCAAGAGACCTCTGAGGTTCTCCGGCCAGATACACACATGACAACCTTCCGCCATGATTCATCCGTCCCGTTAGCCAGCCCAGAACCCACTCGATGCTCAGGGGTTCACATTCCCACACGCAGTACGTCCCCACTGAGGCCCCGCATTAAACAATGCCGGTGAATGCCCACACCTCATTTTAAGGTCAGGAAAGCAGGCACGGAAAGATCAAGGCCCAGGTCAGTCTTGCAGGGGTCAGTGTCCAAGAAATGGGACCAGAAGGAACGAGGTCTCCACAGGCCAACAGTGAGCTAATGTGCCAGCCCGGCTCCGTGTCTTCAGCCGAGCTGGGTAGGCACAGCTGCCACCTCCAATGCAGGACTGAAACCAGAACAAGACAGCCAGGGCAGCCAGGCCCAGAACTGGGGGAAGGGACCCCTTAAATACCCCTCCCTCTCGAATCAGGCTACGGCAACCTGAGCCCGGAGACCATGGCTGCCCGTCTCTTCTGCATATTCTTTGCTCTCATGGGAATCCCACTCAACCTGGTGGTGCTCAACCGGCTGGGCCACCTCATGCAGCGAGGGATGCACCGATGTGTCCAACGGTTGGGGGGCGGCTGGCAGGTGAGACAGTGGCCAGCAACCGATGGGGGACGGTGGTGGAAATGGGGTGCGGAACCAGACGGACAGGATCAGGAAGATGAGGGAGGTTGCTGTGAGGTTGTGGGAGCACAGCCCAGAACAGGGTCTTAGATCGTGTCCGTGGTTGGCATGAGAAGATGGGGAGGAGTCCACACCACCGAGGCTTTTGGAAGGAAATGTGGGCGGGGGGGGGACGCAAAGCTGGAGACGTGGGCATGGGACATCCCCTTTTTGCTGCCCAGGACAGAGCCTCAGGCCATTGCTGTGCACTGCAGGACCCGGCGCAGGCGCGGTGGCTGGCAGGCGCTGGCGCACTTCTCTCCGGCCTCCTGCTCTTTCTGCTGCTGCCCCCACTCCTCTTCTCCCACATGGAAGGCTGGAGCTACGTGGAGAGCTTCTACTTTGCCTTCATCACGCTCAGCACCGTGGGCTTCGGGGACTACGTGATTGGTAAGTGGTCCGGGGGCTGGTGCGGGGGCCACTCACTGGGAAGGCACTGCGGTGACTGGTGTCTCGTGTGGGTGGGTTGGCACAGCTCGTAACCCAAGCAGGCTCTGTCCTTTCCCAGCATGGGGGGCTATGCTCTCTCGGGTCCTGCCTGCCAGTGGGGAGCTGTCCCTCCAATGCTAAGGGTTCGGTGGGTGCCTTGGAGGGACACGCAGCCTTTGGACGCCCTCTCCATACAGTCCATTCCCACCCACCTGCCAAGGAGACTCTAATGGGGTCCATTAGTGCTGTCCCCTGGGGCCGTGGAGGCACCCCAGAGACTGCCGACACTTCAGGAGATGATGGAGAAAAACTCCAGAAAACCTCATCATCTCTGTCTCTGTGTCTCTGTGTGTGTTTCTCTCTCTCTCCCTCCCTCCCTCCCTTTCTCCCTTACTCCCTCCCTCCCTCCCTCCCCCCTCTCTCTCCCTCCCCCTCTCTCTCCCTCCCTCTCTCTCTCTCTCTCTCTCTCTCTCTCTCTCTCTCTCTCTCTCTCTCTCTCTCTCTCTGTGTCTTTCTTTCTCTGTCTGTATCTCTCCTGGCACTGAAAAAAATCTAAGAGTAAAGGTCACAGGTTCCTTCACTACCTGGGGAAGCCTTGGGGACACCACACCCTCCAGTAGGGCATGGCCCTGGGATGAGGAGGGAGCCTGTCATGAAAATTTTCTCCCGGGCTGGGAGCTAGGGGACTAAACATCTCTCCCCACTCTTCCTAAGATCCCAATGAAGAATCAGTTTGCTCCCACTGAAGTCCCTCAGGGAATCCTTGTATTTACTGAGCATGGATGAGGGGTCACGGGCAGGAGCACGGTGGCCCTAAAGTATCTGCACTGGAAAGTTTTCACCTGGCGTGGATGGTGACTTCTCCATGACTACATAGATGGAGCCCCTCCCCTCATCCCCCAGCCTGTATACCCTCCCCTCCTCGAGACCCTGGGCCACGTGCAGTTAGGGCTGGGAGGAATGGCTGGATACTCGGGTGAGGGTCCAATAGCTCGGTCCCTCCCCCACTTCTGAGAGGGAAGGTCGGCAGTCCACAAGGCCAGCTGCGACCATGGTTTGCAAGCAGTCCCTTTCCTGGAGACTTGCAAAACTGTAGCCTATGAGGCAGGCACCCCAGAGATTTCACAAGGCCAGGGGGATTCAATCACCTGCTTTTACAATAGGCTCTCAGGGGGCAGCAATGGAGCTAGCCTGGGGCAGCACTTTGAGAAATTCTAGAAAAGGTCCATCTCCAGATACAAGGTACCAGTGAATCCTGAGAGGCTTCCTGGAATCTCGGGCTGGCAGCCAGCCTGGGAATGTCGAGCGAGCGTGTGGGCTTCCTGCATTCCCCTCACCTCGCCGATCACTCAGACCTCCAGTTTCTGTACAGCCCCTACCTCCTCTGGTCTTGTCTTTTCCCAGGGATGGACCCCACCCGGAATTACCCTATATGGTACAAGAACATTGTGTCCCTATGGATCCTCTTTGGGATGGCCTGGCTGGCCCTCATCATCAAAATGATCCTGTCCCTGCTGGAGACGCCAGGGGACATGTGCACCTGCTCCCTACGCTGCTCCAAGGGGACATCCAGGGTCGAAGCTGGAGGCAGGGCCCAGAAAGGGGACACGGGGCCCAATCTCCAGGCACCGCCTCTGGAGCCTTGCATTCTGGATAGACAATATGACAATGACAGCTCGCTGTGTTCTGGGATTGCTACTCTTCCTCCACAGACCTCTGGTTAACCATGACTTTCTGTGCCTTCCAGCCAGATACAGCTAGGTGACTCAGGGTCATCCAGTAGGCCATGCAGCAGCTTACGGGATGCGTCTTTGGGAACGGCGTGTGCTCCTCTTTGCCTATTTCCTTCTTTTAGCCGTCTGCAATGCTGACGTGGCGGCAAGAGCCCCGGCAGCCATATTGCACCATGAAGCAGAGACCGTCATTGAGATTCATAGCCCAGTAACAGAAGTAGCCCAGAGTCCTGGTCATCACAGAGTCATAGTGACAAACCAGGACTGAACACTGACTTGATTCCTGCGAAAGTAGCAGATGTCACATTTGGAACTGTTGCTTGGGTGTTTCAAACATAACGAAATTTCAATTCTAAATGATGCATACATATCCATAAGCAGACACAATGGAGGCTAGAACCCACAATGCCAGTGCCAGGTGAGCTTGCCTGGGACTGGCAGAGGCACAGACGGAGAGGAGGGAAACTCGGGACCCTCCACCCTCGGAACGTCCAGAGGAGTTCACAGGGCTTGCTGGTGAACCCCAGGACTGCTCCTGGATCCTTCCCTGCTTTTTCAAAGTGAGCTGAGTAACAGCATTCATCCCTGTCTGCCTCCTGACTCCTGTCACCCATGATGGATTTGTCCCCTAAAACCATACTCTCAATAAATGTTCCCTCCCTTAGGATGCTTCTGTCTGGTATGTGTCACACAGTGAACAAGTAGCTGATACAATTATGCAACAAAACACTGCAAAATTTAGTGCCGTAAAATACCGTTTACTTTAACCGGGACTTTGAACTTCAACCAGGCTTCAGTGGGGACAGGGCTGTGTCTCCCAGGGTCAGCAGGTGGCTGGAAAGCCCCATGAGGATCGTCTAAGCACTCACTCCTGTGTCTGGCATCCGACGGAGGCTGTGGACTAAGAACTTAGCTTACTTCTGTGTGTCCCCTGCTGCGACAACACGGAAGCTGCTCCTCAGGGTGAGCTTTCTGAGAAAGAGACTTGCTTACAGGCTGGGGACACTCAGCGACGCCTTCTCGCCGTCTTCACTTGGGCACACACGTACCTTGTCCCAGGACTACAGCATGCTGGCGTTGACACGCCTGTTTGCACGCCTGCCGTGTCCCATTACTGACAAGCGTGGACCCACCCGCTAGCACACCTGCTGTGCACCAGGGCCTCTAATAGCAGCCTGGGCGCAACTGTTAGCATGCATGCATGCCATGTTCCAGCACCACCAGATGGTGGCTTGGGCACAACTGTCCACATACCTGTGGTGTCCCAGGACATATTTTTGCACATTTGCCCTGTCCCAGAGCCACCAAATGGGGTCTGAGCACACCTGTTCCCATGTGTGCCCTGTCCCAGAGCCTGAGCATGCCTTTCCACACATCTGCCATGGCCCAGTGCTGCCATCTAGTGACCGAGGCAGTCTCTTCACACATCCGCCAGGGCCCAGTGCTGCCATCTAGTGACTGAGGCACTCTCTTCACATGTCTGCCATGGCCCGGTGCTGCCATCTAGTGACCGAGGAAGTCTTTCCACACTCCCGCCATGGCCCAGTGCTGCCATCTAGTGACCGAGGAAGTCTTTCCACACATCCGCCAGGGCCCAGTGCTGCCATCTTTTTTTCCACACACGATATATCTCAAGGCCCACATGCCCATAAAACCCCATATTATGCCACTTGGAAATGGCATGTTTTCCCAATGCCCATACTGATCCTCATATAACAGGTTTGGAAATGGTATGTGGACCAGCATGCATAAACAGCACCATCATGTGACCAGGATGGGAAATACTGTGGGAGCCAATATGCAAACACCCTACCCACAATCCTGGGCTCTGAAATGGCATGGGAACCAACATGCTCATACGCCTCCTTGTATGGCTGGGCTGGGAAATGGCATGGAGTCAACAGAATCATATACCCTACATGTATGACCAGACTCAGAAATTACATGGGGTCAACATGCCCAGACACTCCTCCATATATCCAGTCTCAGAAATGGGGCCAACAAGCTTGAACATCCCCACATATAGCCAGGTTTGGGAATTGTGTGGAGGCCAACATGTACCCCCAGTGGGATTGGGATAGAAAATGACACGGGGCCAAAATGCCCATAGCTCTCCCCTTATGACAGGGATCACAAATGGCATGTTCCAATATACCCCTACTACAAAACAGTTGGGTGCCCGCATGCCCACACCCTCCCCCATGTGACCAGGCCCAGACATGGGATGGGAGCCAGCATGGCCAGAGACCCCGTTATATGATGGGTTCAGAAGCTGCATGGCTCCAGCATGCCCGTGTACCCCAGCTCTTTACCATGCTTGAAAGAGGCATGAGGTGAACATGCTCACACACATAAAACTGGTCTCTGAAAAGGCAGAGTTCACATGCCTATATGCCCGTCATGTGACCTGGCTCAGGAATGGTGTTGGGTACAACATGCCCTCCTGCCCTCCACTATGATTGGATTTGAGAATGGCATGGCAGCCAACATGCCTTGTACAACCCCCACTGAACTGGAACTTGGAAATGACATGGGACCAACATGTCCACATTCCTCACATCTGACTGAGCTCGGAAATGGATGGTCCAATATATCCATCCATCCCTTCACGACCAGGTGTGGTAACGGATCCACATAGCCGTGTAATCTCTGTCTGAATGGGCTCAGAAACGGCATGAAGACATTATAGTGCCCACACACTGCTGACGTGGACCAGAATTAGAAATTTCATAGGAGCCAAAATGCCCATACATCCCTCCACTTGGCCCAGCTCAGAAAATGTCCTCATAGTTCAATACTGCCACGCTAGCAAGGGTTAAAACCATGGTCTGCCACAACTCCCTCACTGAGCCTAACTCCACAGGTGCCTAGTGGGCCTTGCTTCCAGTGCAGGAGCAGGGACCTCCACCTTGGAGGGAGCACGGAGGAGGCCAAGTATGTGACAGAGTCAGAAGACCTGGGGTGGCTGGCAAGACTGTGAAGCTCCTTCAGCACTGTCTGTCAGCACTGTCTGTCAGCACTGTCTGTCAGCACTGTCTGTCAAGCAGCACAGGGTCCACCGCACAGCAGGAAACTAGCACCTGGGGCTAGCTCATGCTGCTGCTTTGTCATGCTGATGAGGGTGGGGAATTTGACCCTGGGCTACAAGTGAGGCACCAAGGCCAGCGGGGTTCTGGCCTCACATTGCTAAGTACAGTTTCCTCTAGAAGTCCCTAGGAGGCTGTGGCCCTCAGCTAAGGGGTGCACCTAGTCCCCAGGAGGAGCAGCAGGAGCCCCTCAGCATCCTCTCTGGCTCTCTGAGGCACTCCACACACATCTCTCTTCAGAAGAACTAGGAGTTCAGGGGAAGGGGGTGTCTTCGGTCCTGATAGGTAGCCCCTATCTGAAGTGACACCCGTTCCTATGTCTAGCCCTGAGCATCTGCAAATGCCCTGAGGTACGTTGTGCCTCAGGGCAGAGACTGAGTTTTACAACACTCACTACAGTGGTGTGCAGTCTCGAAATGACATCACCTTTTACTGTTGGGTTTGCATTGGCCGCCTATGCTGTTAGTGTAACTCTGCTGTTAACACGAGGGGTTCAAACTTACATTTTGCTCACCGATAACAAGTGCAGAGAAAGTGTGGCTGTCTTGGCTAGGATCATATCCCTAGAGAGTAAGGAAGATGTGATCAAAACCCAAGAACAAAATAGCGACCATTCCTTGGAGAAAGAATGGAGTCAGTGACAGTTTTAGCAGCATGAGGCCTCGACCTTGACATGCAAATGCACGCTGCCTGGTCTCAAAGCTGGTCCTGCTTTGGCTGCAACCAAAGGGAGTGGGGTCTGTGCTGCCAGGAGGACTGCATCCTGCTGGAGGAGGAGCCCCAGCAGGCACCGTGGCATACAGGAAGGGCTGGCTCAGATCCAGGCTCTGTCTCTCTGGGGGCTGGAGACTCAGGCTCTTCCTCCTCTCCCGAGGAATGGCTGGGCTGGCGATGCTCCCAAGCTCTCTTTGAGATCCAACAGTGTCTGCATGGGAAGTCCAGCAGCCCCACGCAGCTTACGCAGTTTGCATTTACATAGCACATCTTCTTAGTGCTTATGTTCACACGTGGAGGTGTTTGGATAAATTCCGGTTTTGTGCATGCCCAGATGACCAGTTTTGTACATGTCAAGATGATCAGTTTTGTACAGGTTGACTGGATTCCAGGAGTATGGCTCAGTGTTTAGCTGTGGGTGTCTGCTTCTGCTTCCATCAGCTACTGGATGGAGGCTCCAGGATGGCAACCAAGGTAGTCATCAATCTCATTGTAGGGGAAGGGCATCAAAGGCAGCCTCTCCACCACTGCCTAGATTCTTAGTTGGGGTCATCCCTTTGGATCCCCGAACATTTCCCTAGTGCCAGACCTCTCTCCAAACCTGTACTGGCTCCCTCTATCAAGGTATATTCTTTCTTGCCCTCCTCTATTATTCCCCTGACTCTGTCTTCCTGATCCCTCTTGTCCCCCCCCCCCTTCTCCCCTTCTCTTTTTCTTAACTCCCCCTGCAGTGCTCACAATTTGCTCAGGAGATCTTGTCCCTTTCCCCTTCTTCAGGGGACCATGTGTTTTTCTCTTGGGGTCCTCCTTGTTTCCTAGTTTCTCTGGTGATGTGGATTATAGGCTGGTAATTTTTGCTCTGTGTATAAAATACATATATGAGTGAGTAAGTACCATGTTTGTCTTTCTGTGAGTGGGTTACCCCACTCAGGATGTTTTCTTCCAGTTCCATCCATTTGCCTGCGAATTTCAATATCTCCTTGTTTTTTTTTTTCCCACTGAGTAATATTCGATTTTGTAAATTACCAAATTTTCTCCATCCATTCTCAGTTTAGGGGCATCTATATTGCTTCCAGGTTCTGGCTATTACAAACAACGCTGCTATTGTTGTGCCCAAATTCTGAACCTGAAAATCACCAAGAGACCCATTTTAATGCAAAAGCAAAGAGTCTTTTATTGTAGTTGTTTAACGAGCTAACCCATTAGCTCAGGCCCTCCATCCACCCACCATAGTGGCTGGAGAAAGACCCTGAGAACCCAAGAGGCAGAGATCTTAAAGGGCAGCATAAGGGGAGGGTCTAGGGTTATGAAACAGTCTCAGGATTGGTGCGCTTCCAGGCTTGGGTGACCTGCCCTGTGTTGATTGGTCAACTGGTTGTTATAGCCCAGAGGCCCTCACAGGGCGGTTACTATGCTCTGCACATTACTGTTGTGCACTTGTCTGTAAAACACACCCAGAGGCATAAAGCACAGCCCTGCCATCTAACTTCTGATTGGTTCCTTGCCAGGAGGAGGGCATCTGACCTCCTAGTGACCAGGACAGGAGTGGCAAGTTCATGCAAGGTCATGTTAGCTTGTCATGGCCGCTAAAACTGGGGAGCTGGTCACTTCACTATGAACATAGTTGAACATATGTCCTTGTTGTATGAATGTGCATCCTTTGGGTATATGCCCAAGAGTGGAATTGCTGGATCTTGAGGTAGACTGATTCCCATTTTCCTGAGGAACCACCACACTGATTTCCAAAGTGACTGTACAAGTTCTCACTTCACCAGCAATGGAGAAGGGTATCTCTTTCTCCATATCCCTTCCAGCATGGACTGTCATTTGTGTTTTTTATTTTAGCCATTCTGGTCAGTGTAAG